CAGACGATGTGTTGACTGATGAAAATTCAGTTGATCTTAATTATGCAGATTATACCGTCATGCTATTTAACGATGTTGGGGAGGCAGTCAACCCTATATAACCTCTCTAGAGTGGTTCCAGCATTTGGTATGCACTACGCACCTTTAAAGTGCAAAGTGTTGTTGCAGGACCACCGGCCACGTGATGACCCCTTGACGCTTGATAAGAAGGAACACGAAGTAGTTGACCAGATCACTTATCTTAGCAGCTGCAATAGCAACAATGGGCGCATGAGCACTGAGGTTGGTCCAGGTATTGCGAAAGTTAGAGCTGTCTCCGTGAAGCTGCGATATCTGTGGCGTCAGAATGGGGTTTCCCTCGGTCTGAAAGGCCGTGTTTACAAGGCCGCAGTGAGGGCTGTTCGACTATATGGTAGTGAAACTTGGCCCTTTTGATTTGTGGCGCCTTCAAGTCTTTGACCATCATAGTCTGCGAAGCTATGCGTGTGCTGGATAGTACCAGCGTGTCTGCAACGATGATGTGCGTAGGCGAGTGCTAGATAGTGATACTCCTACTAGTTCCTTAGAACAACAGATAAAAGGGCATCAGAAGTACGCTGGCACGCAGTATCGATGCTGTGCTGCCGCGCAACCATCACCAGTTGTACGTGGGCTAAGAATACTGCGAGGGTCGCATGGTCCTTGCGTCGTCTCGTATCCGAGCCCTCGGATTTCAAGGGAAGGTTGTGACCCTTAAGGCTACGAGCTAGCTGATCCTTAAGGCTACGGACACTGAATAAGTTGCGTTGGCTAGGGCATGTGCTACGTACGCCCGGTCAGCGCTCACCGAGGAGGGTCTTGTTGTTTGCCAGATGTAGGGTGGCGCGAGGCAAGGTTAACTCGGCAGCAGGAACTGGAGTCATTGACTACAAAATTGGGGGTTATTGGTCCGTCTCGCTTGCCAGGCTGCAGTCCACGTGACCAACCGTGTGGTTGGCTAGAGACGTTACAGGACAAGGCTCGCAGTCGACAGCAGTGGCACGTCTGCTGTCGCCTCCTAGTCCGACTGTCTGTTTAAGGTGTGTCCGGTGCGGGTAATAGCTAATTATGATGCGGGGCGATGAAAGCTGCAAGGAAACTGTCTCGCCGATGCCGCCTTACCTTTGTACCATAATCAGCTGTTTGTGATGGTATGCTGTTATGGTGTAAGCACCTAGACCCTGAGTGGTTGTTTAGAGCATTAAGGCTTTACGCTGGGTTCCCTTTCTCTCCCTGTTATTACTTTTCGTTCCGTAAGTCACCGTGGTGGTATGGCAACCGAACATCAGTTCAAATGTCTGATGCACTGCTGCCGACAATGATGATCCAGTGGTTAGGATACAGTAGCTCTGCATTCACAGATGAGAAACATTACTTGATTATGAACGATAACATACTCTCCCATTCAAACAGGGAAATAAGTTTGACGCTAGTTGCGTATAAGCAGACGTTAAAGAATAGTTGCTGTACTAGTAGTGGTAGCAGTAGTAGTAGTAGTAGCAGTATTAGTAGAGTCAACATACATAAGTAGGTAAAAATGAACGATGTCAGAGAGGACCAGCTAACCATAAAAGGGCTGTAGATGGGTAATATCATCGTGGAATTTTTTTTGGTTAGCGAGTCGTGGAATTGAATGGTTTGATAGATACAAAAGACATAAACAGAGAGCGCCGCTGTAGGAATGAAGAAAAAGGTCGATTTACGTTGCGTAAAACGAGAAGCCTGTTCTAACATGACCCGGTGTTGTATTCGAGTAGCACTGTGTTTCTTCCGAGGAAAACTAACATGATGTTTGGATCTAACCTCTGATCACGCATTCATGCAAACTCGGAGATGAAGCAAATTACGAAAGTTCACCGTCATACTTAAAATTATAAGTTAGATTTTGATTTTTTCTTTGAACTAGAACAATAAACTCCATAAAACCACAGTTCCCACTCTTGCTGACTAGAAAGTATAAAACGCTCTAAATGAAGACAAAAGAGTAAATGACGAAATCTACCGAGCTAAAACCAATGAGTGCTCAGTACTTTCAACAATAACATTATCATCATAAAACATGTTAGCTAGAGGTGGAAAACACCTCAGCTACTGTGCCGCAATACAAAGAAAAAAGGAGAAACAATGCAACTAGTGCAAGCCGGCTGAGCTACCAGCAACGGATAGGCATCGTTCCGGTAAGCTACCAGCCGGCTACTAGGCATCAAGAAGAATTATTATGTAAAATTACATTCCGCTACGTAATGAGATCGTGGTTGGAGGGGGAGACTAAGAGTAATGGGGTGGGACAAAGAAACTCACAGCACGAACGCCACTGAGGTCGGCTCCTTGCCATGTCAGCAAGTGTATCTAGCCAAACGTGTTCACTGTCCTTTGGACCCCAACCAGGGAGCCGTGAAGCTCCAACCGAGGCCAGCTCCGATGTGAGGGCCTTCATTCCTCTCGACCAATTCATCGCTTGGCCACCCCTCTTCTTCCATCCACACCCCCCGGCGCGCAAACAACGCACATCGTGGGATTCGGTGGGCTGGCATGCGTAACACGTGGCCGAGCCGTCGGAGTCTGGTGCGTGAAAGGACGGTGCTGAGCGGTTCATTTTCTTTTCGTGTGCCGTAAACAAGGCGTCGAACACGCTTGTTGCTCACGCAGTACTTTCAACAACGCTCGGGGGCAATCTTTGCGAGCTAACGTACATTAGGGAATTTTCAGCGAGCACACTATCGTTACGATTCAAATGTACCAACCATATCAGCTTATCATCGAAACTTCCGGATACAGTTCGAGACGGCTGCATTAGTATTCAGTTGCAAGGAAACGGTTTTATTCCAGGTACCTCATCACGTCAAATTGTCTGTGATATAGATTTCCAGCAATATTACATTAAACGATATACAATGGTTCATCCCCGGTACAGTGTAATCAAGCATCGTTGAACCTAGACGGTCATTTTCAACCGCTGAAACGCCAGTCGGCATGCTTTCTAAAACTCTATTCTTAAGCGTGGTTTCACTTTGGGCGGTGAAAAATATCAGTCACCTAAAAGTATAAGGTTGAAACACACTGTACCGGTGCTTGGTAAAAGTGGACAACCGTAGACAGATGTTTGGTCATCCGAATGTGACAAATACAAACAAATAAAGTAGGTCGGGCATCCGTCGGAGCGACTGTTTCGGATCATGTGAAACTTCGCTCGGGAGAAAAAATGAAAGGAAAAGATGTGGCGGCCAGAGTAGGCTGTCTGGCTGATGAGCAGTCTCTCGAATGATTGTGGATAGTAACAAGTTCAGTGAATTAGATAAATTAAGCTGCGCTTACAAACATTAGACTATCTTATGCATTTATGACTTCAGATGGACATGAGCCTTTCTTAAGCATTTTTCAGGAATAGAAAAACTAGTTTCTGCTAACTTATCCAGTATGAACGGCCCGGAAAGCATTTAGAAAATGCTACTCGTCAGCATAGCCTAAAGGAACCTTAGAACAATCGCCACACTAAGGGCCAGGCTCGTCAGAACAGGCTGAGATAGCCTTTAGAGTGCGAACGCGAGCATAAATACAAGACGTTCAGAGATCGGGGAGGATGGCTCCATTTCAGCTCAACATAACAAAATGAAAGGTGTGAAGCATCTATTGGCAAAAAGGATTTACAGTAGTCAACTGGGGTTTTGAAAGCCCAAGGCTAAGTCCGTATGAAGCGTCAAAAGCACATCGATCTGAAATATACTATTTCTCGGTCAAGTTGGGCCAAACTGGGAGCAAGTTAGGCTGTAGAGAAAACAAATCCGTCATTCAAGCATGTTGGTTTGACCATTAACCGAACGGCGTCGGGCGCATATCCTGTGCACAACGGTGTGTAGCTACTTCACACGCCATCTGAAAGATGTACGCGAGTATGTCCTTTTTGAAGTGTTTTAAATGAACTCCGGTTTCTCCTACATGCGTACACGCTGCTACGCATGTGTATTCGACATAATTTATTCGATAGGCACAATGCTTGTATAGCAAAAGAACTTGACTGCCGTGCAGCTGAAGTTGCGTTCAGTATTGACCAACTAGACGGAGAAATAGTACAGATCGCTAACAAGTGGAAAAGGCTGCATAAGCCAAAATACCAAGCAGAAGCGACAAGTGATGGTAATGTACAAGGTAACCAGACAGTATCCCTTAGAAACCAAAATTCAAGTAGCCGAACATGCGCTGGCATAATTCGTTTCGTAGCCGTAGTAATCCCTAAAAGAAAGCACACAAGAACAAGGAGGAAAGGTCTTATGAGAGGTGTCGCGCGTTTTTGCGGTATGTTTGGTACTAAAATCAAGAACATTCGGATAGAATGTTCGGATAGCGAGTTCCTATCCCTGCACGTGTGCTCGAAAATGAAAAGTTTGCCTACACAGAATAGATAGTAACTCATTCTGTCGCTAGTTAGGTAGCCGGGTATGCGCCAGCACATTTCTTTAACCACACATCTCAGATACCTCGAAATGCTGCTGTACTGAAGGACCTGGAGACGGCATAGCAGTTGCCTGACAGAAATAGATCAAAAGGTCAGCGCAGTGGTACATCTGCCCTTTATTTCACAGGTCATCGGTTCAAATCTGCGTGGACGTGGAAAACTGCAGTAACAGCCCGAGTTCGACGAGTGATGAGCGAGTCGCGAAGCGCCGGTACGGCGTCATGGCATACTGCTGGTGCCTTGGTCAGAAATACAGATTCGCGGGACCTCCTATACTATTCATTTTGAAGTTCAAACAATAAACGAAAAACGGACACTAGCGATAAACACATTTGTGTATTGACCAAACCGATGAACCGAAACATCTTTATTAAAGCTGAGCGTGTATAAACAACTGCGGTCAACCATACCTGCTGAGCGACAGCTGTGAGGCTGCCAACACTTGGTGGAATGGAAGCACTTAAAAACAACCGTATAAGGCATGGTAAATTCATAAGAGACAAACGGGTGAAAGTGCACATGAGCGCAGCTAGACACAGTAAGGCCTGTTCAAGCTTAAACAATGGAATATGTAACGCTGGAGGATATGCGAAATAAGATAACAAGGCTACGTTTTTTTACCTCGTTTCGTCTCCTGAAAATTTCTATCTCTCGGTTAATAAGATCCTTTCGATCCTCATCTAAATCCATATCTTCCATAGTCTGGAAAATAAGCAACATTCACACAGGAAATGAGGGCAAAATCGTATAGACATGAGATAACAAGAGAGCTGCAGTAAAACCTAAATGCCCCAAGTGAACGTGCAAGATAAAGACGTCCACATACCGATAATAACGCAGTCACAAGTTCTATGTAAGAACAAGGCGGCTTCGACAACATAACTTACTTGCGGATCGGAGGGGTCATTTGGAAGGGCTTTCCGATTGAATGGATTTTGACGCGCAGTTCCGATGTGGACCGCGATTAGTATTGAAGTGAACCTTGACCTATTCGATCACTAGGATGGATTGTAGCTGGAGTCAGATGGGCATTGGGTGTAGCCCGCTTGAAAACATTGTACTCTTCAGATAGAAATATCAGGCATTGAACTCGGGGCCATTAACCATGGTAGCAAGAGTTGCCCGTCGTGACTCGGAAGCTTAAGGGTAGAGGTTCCGGCTGGCATCCCAAATGCTACGGGTTCGAGTGCCTGCAACCTCTACCTGATGAGATCAAATAGCTCGAAATCGGCCGTAGAGTGCAGTGTTTTCGGGTGAGTAGCACTTAATCATCTACCAAATCACTTGTGGCTTTTACTGCCCCGCTTTATAACCAACATCATCATCGTTAGACACGTTAGCTAGATAAAAAAACACCTCAGCTATTGTGCCGCAATACATAAAAGAAAAAAATGCAATCGAGACACGCTATTTGAGCTACCAGTAACGGATGGGCAACGTTCCGGAAAGCTACCAGCCGATATTGTGCCGTAAGAAAATATGCTATGCAACATTTGTAGTATGCTAGAAAATGAGATAGTGGTTAGAGAGGGAGACTAAGGGGAAGGGACAAAAAAACTCAGAACACAAGCGCGACTGAGATCGATTCCTAACCATGTCAAGAAGTGTATGCAGCCAAACGTGCTCACCATCTTTCGGACCCCAACCAAGGAGCCGAGAGGCTCCAACTGAGGCCCACTTCGAAGGGCCTTCATTCCATTTGATTAAGTCATCGCTTGGCCACCTCTCTTCTTCTATCCACACCTCCGGCGAGAAAACAACGCACGTCGCCGTAGTCGGTGTGCTGGCATGCGCAACACGTGATCCGGCCATCGGAGCCTGGTGCGTGATATAACTGTGCTGAACAGTTCATTTCTTCTTCCTAGGCCGTAAACAAAGTGTCGAAGACGCTCACTGCTTACTCGGTTTTCTCGCCAGATATGAGACAAACTGGGAAGACACCAGTGGTCGACTGTCACCACCAGATGATTCGCAACCGAACTGTTTTCTAAATAGTTCAGTTAGGAAGCAAGGGCAAACGTTACTGTCGTCGGCCACGAACAATATTCTATAAAGTCTCAAGTCGATCACAAAGTAGGATGCGTGAGCTCCAGTTTGGAGGGGGACGGATCAACGGCACTCAAACTGGTGACTATATGTTAGTTTCCGCGGACAAACCGACGATTGCCCCCCTAAAGCTGTATGCCACCTTACACAGAGGAAACAAAACGAGGCCAATCTTAACAAGCAGTGGGTAAGCATAACTCAACTGACCCAGCCCTATTTGTTAGACAGTGAAACAAAACAAGCACCGTGGTTGGTGTTTGTTTGCGCATCTCATCTTCGTGGATACGTTTGCGTCAACTGACACCAACAATGCTCCGAAGACAACAATCAAGGACAAGAATGAGTCTTCGGTTCCCAGAATAGAACAACAAACAAGCATCTGGAAACCCGTAGTACATTTTAGAAGTCTAGTCTGCAAACTCTGAGCTACAGGTTCCAGATTCCTTATTTGGACGGGTTTGAGTGCATCGATAGCGCGCAAGCCCGAATACAACCGCTTGCGGTTACAGGGAGGTGAAGCATCAGTAGTGATGCGAAGAGGATACGCGTACTCTTTTTCAAGCAGCTAACTCAGTGCTCCTATCAGAATGAATACTCTGAAATCGCTAGTGAGCAAGGGCGACCAGTTTCCAAAAATTATCATGGCTTCTCGTCAGCACAACAATACCAGTCGTAACCAAACAGTGTGCACTCTGCGCTCAAATGATCATCTCATCATCACCATCAGACCATCACCGATATACATGCAGGCATATGAATACGTATAAGCACATACATCATATAGATAGACAGACAGACAGATAGATATGCCTCATAATGAGGTTGATATTACACACATCATGCATCCCGGTCTTATTCCTTCGGGATAACACTGGATATGGGGTGTGTGGATGGAGCAGCGCAAGCCACCCATGGTCTCTCTGTAGGCGCAAGCGGGCCACAATGACAAGCAAATGCGAAAGCGGATGCCGCCAACCAGGTACGTACGTGGCCCCATGCTGAAGGCTGATGTTGCATTCATGATACACTTAAACTAGGGCTTTTTAATGAGGAGAAAAATCATTCGACTTTATTTGGTTTGTACTGCGTATCTGATAACCTTCCATTAACTTGCACACGTTCCTTACGCTAATTGTGGTTATCTTTGTTAACTTTAATATGTTTTTAGCATTTTTGAGTAACTTGCGGACACTGTACTTAGCGAGGATTCGTTGCTAAAGTAACTTACTTCATGTGCTAATTTAGCGAAGAGTTATGTCTGCATAGCCATAGCTTTAACAGATATATTTTATTTGATAATGCTCTTTCAAGTGATTGGCTGTTGTTTGACATCCCCGGTGCGGCTGCGATTGATGTGCATTTTTGCAAGGTGCATACGTGTCTATTACCTATTACCTCCTTCATACTGACTTCAGGAGACAGTTCGTCGTTGCTGGAGGGGACGGGGTGCACGGTTCTTGTGGCCGTGTTTGGATCAAAAAGTGGTTCCATGCACTCAGTATGAAGGGGAGTAAGGTCCAGCCACCGTCTTGTATGTGCTTGATTCCCAAATACAGCGTGCTTGTGTTTACCAGTGAAGTGTGGGCCAGCTCCGTCAAAGAAATGTGGCTCTCATCCACATGCCTCCCGGTCTTATTCCTTCGGATTTCCACTGGATTTGGGGCGTGTGGATGGAGCAGTGGGTGATGCCGCGCAAGCTACCCTTGGTCCCTCTGTAGGCGCAGGCGTCCTGTGGAGTCCATAGTGACATGCAATTCTGGAACCAGATGCTGCTAAGCACATACGCGGTATATATATATACATATATATATATATCCATATATATATTTATATATATATATATATATGGCTGGCGGCATCCGGTTTCGAATTTGCCTGTCACTGCGGCAAGCCATAGGACGCCTGCGCCTACAGAGGGGCCATGGGTGGCTTGCGCTGCACCAACCACATCCCATATCCAGTGTAAACCCGAAGGAATAAGACCGGGAGGCATGCGGATGGGAGCCACGTTTCATCAACGGAGCCGGCCCACACTCCTTCACAAGCAAACACAAGCACGCTGTATTTGGGGAATCAAGCGCACACAAGGCGGTGGCTGGACGGTAGTCCGATCCACACTGAGTGCATGGAACAACTCTTTGATCCTAACACGGCCACAAGGACCGTGCACCCCGTCCCCTCCAGCAACGACCAACTGTCTTCTGGAGCCAGTATGGACGAGGTAGTGGGTAATAGACAGGTAGGCACTTTGTCAACATGCACATCAAGCGCAGCCACACCGTGGATATCAAACAACAGCTAATCACCTGAGAGAGAGATACAAAGAAAATAACTCGATTAATACATAAGGAAACGGTGACATAAACCTTAAGTTAATGAGCATATGAAATAAGTTGTTTACAAACGAATTCTAGATAAGTTCACGAGGTCAGAAAGTATACTTTACGGAAATGCCACGAACACAAAATTGTTATGGAAATCGAATACAATAGGCTTAAGCGAGGTGCGCAAGTTAATGGAATAGAGTACAGGTAGACATTTATAAATAGACTTAGCATGCAAGCACGGGGTTAGTAAATCGAATGCAGCGTACCTACAAACGCTGCGCTGCTTTTGCCTACGTTCTCTGCAGGACCCGTCGTCGCCTCGGTAGTGGTCCCGAGTGGCCTCGCTCATGGCTCACTAGGCCTGCCTGACTCAGGCACTCGCGACCGCATGTGCTACAGCACTATGCGCTCGATGTCGATGGAGTACAACCCATCGGTGCTTACCGCTTCCGCAATTGCCGCTTTTTCTCTGCATGTATGAGGTCTTTTTCGCGCACTTCGGCAACTGCGTACGTGATCAGATTGCGCCATGAACACCGATCAACCGCCTTCGATTCCCATGACCTGCAATCAAGATTAGAACGTGGGAGGCTCACTTTACCATGTCCTGATAACGTAACTTCAGTTTCCCCACATGCCGTTTCCCAATACTTAGCTGACCATGTAATAGCTGCTTCGGTATCCGCGTCGAATCCATACGGCTCACATGACCGATCCACCTCAGGTGTCTTAATAAAAGTATGCAGTCCACTGCATACATCCCACTTCGGCGCAACACTTCGGTGTCTGCAACTCTGTCGCCCCAGCCGATGCGCAAAATCCGTCGCAGACACTGCTGATAGAACCGCTCGGAATATCGCACATCCCGTAGCTACATCGTCTACGTTTCACTGCCGTATAGAAGAACGGACAGCACCATGGATTTGTACACCATCAGCTTCGTGCCAATGGTGAGCTGATGGTTGTTCCACACTCGGTACTCTAGCTTACCGAATGCCGCCGCTGCCTTCGACACGCGGATACGCAGCTCACTGTGCAGCTGCTGACCAGTCGACATCACACTCCCAAAGTAGCAAAAGCGTGAGGTGGTTTCTAATCCTTCAGCACCAATACTGATTCGCGGAAATATTGAAGATTGCACCTCCGGTGAAGGCTGAAAGAGACAGGCAGTTTTGCTTGTGTCGATGGTGAGCCCAAATTTTGCCGCTGTCGAAGCCAGAGCACTAGTCATGTGCTGCAACTCATCCGCGCTGTGTGAAAACAACGCACAGTCGTCAGCAAACAGCAACATACGGATAGTTGTCTCACAGACTAGAGTTCTCGCACCAA